CCTCATCCCCGGCCCCCCCTTTTTCTCGGGGGCGCCTCGGGGGGCACACGCACTCCCGTTGTACACCTCCGCCCCACCGACATCGGGATCAACGTTCAACAACAACAACAACAACAACAACAACAACAACAACAACAACAATAATAATAATAATAACTCACAATATTAACAACTAGTGGAAAACGTGATTAAGCGAGTTTAAAGCAATTTAATTCAATTCACCCTACTCCTTTCCATACTCTTCGTCCATCGCCCTGTATCAATGGCTCTGGCCCCGCAAAATAACCCACAGGATAAATAAATACGTAAATAAATATCAGAACATGGTTACGAGCGCAAACCTAAAGGTACGGTCATCCACGAGGATTTCTCCGCAAGAAAATCAGGAGCGAATTCGTGACGGTGTAACTAGCGAAGTTGTGGTCGCAGGCAGTCGTGTTTCCCGGAAGGGTAGAACCGAACGAGCAAAATATGTCACATATTCCAAGCAAGTGTGGGAACCTTAACATGTGTTTTTTTTTAGATAAACGTCACATACCTGCATGAACATATGCTTTGGATGTTTACCCGCAAAATTCAGCACCGCTGAGGTAGCTAATCTCGTGGTCAACTTTGGTTTCCAACTTTGGTTTAGTTAGAACTATTTTGAAGTAAATAACAGAACGTGCAATATAACTAATTGTGAAAAGAAATGATTTAAATTGAAATTTCCTACTGGAATTGATTTATTACACACTTCTTGTTCTGAAATATGTTACCTTGAATACTGGGTTGCGAAATAAATTCAGATGAATAAATCATTTCTTTTCAAAATGATTTAAAATAACACACAATCATGTGCTGCTGATGTACTGTAGTAGTATGCGTAATGATTAATTCACGTTAATAACTAACATTAATTCTTTAATATGTATACAACAGAGAGGGGACTACGAATTTTCAGTCACATACTTAAGAATGGTTCGTTATCGCATACTATCTCAACACACAACGTGTAGACTGCGAAAAAGATATCTTATCTTCAAAGAAAACGGTAAATAACTAACAAAAAGAAAAATTTACGATTTATTTCGTCACCTTATCACAAACATTGGCAGTGAAATCACGCCATGCACCGAAAATAAAAATACCGGATAAACAAAAGGCTATTTCGGAAAATTTAAAGTACATGGTGAATACAAAATATTTTTTACTGCATTTACAAGGACAGTGATAGCCCAAAACTTGACTTATCTCACAAATTATCACAACTTCAAGACAAGTGCAAATTTGCCTATCAGTAAAATCAACTCTTGTTACAAATGTACACAGGGGAGATTCTCTCTGATTATTAATACTGCATCGTAAAACAATCGAGCCTATACGAGCATTTCATGTAACCATAAGTATATGTAGTACGACAACGACTCGTAATACAAACAATTATGTTACAACTAAGTACAACTGTCTGCGTAACCAGCTTCAAGCAAGTCATATGCTTGCCGAGGAAATCATATGCGAGAAAACAGTTTTTTATCAGTCACTAGCACGGCGCATCTCGTGCCCGATAACGCCGCTGTTCCGGTCCGATCTAAACTTAGCTCCGGCCCCAACCAACTCAGGCAACGGCGAGGCAGCGGCAACTCGGAAGAAAAAAAATAATAAAATGTACACGGATTCGCACCAACGAGTAAAAGCGAATACGTGAAGACAAATTCTATTTAGTTTCGCTGTTTCGAAAATCTCTTCGGCGAATTTGGCACGGTGGCAACCGCCAACACTAAACTCCACTATTGGACATCCCGAGCACGTTCGTATGCTATGCGGAAAACACTTCGCGACGACAACTCGGCTTGCCATGTGCAATGCCTTCAGATTACAGAATAAAACAACATTCAGAAGCCGAGTTGCGTTCTCTCACACGCTGCAAGTCATATTTAGCATTCATCTAATTCATCGCTCACTGTTTTACTCGTAAACCGAAAAGGTGCACAAAAATAGTATTACAAATAATTTAGAAGGCAAACCTAATACGCATTAGTATTTACGTTGTAAGCTACATATGCACAAGGGAAGTCTTAAAAATCTTGTAACTGACTATTCTGTTCACTCCACGTAATCCGTTCTAAACACACGCAAGTTCGCGAACCTTCCGTGTCTCACTTGCCACGCGAAAACGTCGACGCAACCGAGGAACCTCTAGGCACGCTCAATTGACGCTTCCAGGCCTCGCCCGTCACCTCGTTTACTCACCTCCCGCGCCCGCGGTGCCGTTCGTTTCATCGCGCGTTGCGACACGCGACGAAAGTGTCAGCGCGTCTACGCCACGCCGCGCCTCCCGGTCCCGTTAGGACCGCATCGGCCGGCGCGGCGCGACGCGGCTAGCTGACGGTGGCGGAGGAGAACGCGCTCGCGTCAGCGCCGCCGCGATCGCCCACGCTGACGCGGTCCCGCGCGACACGCGGCTCCCGCCGCCTCGGACGTTAAACTCGCCCGCAACGCGATTGCTGTTCAGCGTCGTCGCCAACCGCGACGACAATGCACCCGCAGAAGCATGCGCCGCCGGTTTCTACTTCGATTTGACTCGGCGCAGTGGTCGAAGCTTCTTTTTTTTTTTTCATGCATACGTTGATGAGTTCGTTTCAAGTGATGCCCCAACGCGGGCGTGGGTCATGCAGCTAAAATCTAACTTGTTCACTAATGTTCATGTTTTGCGAGTCACACTTCTACAATCAATTCGCACGTTTTCTTTACAGTTACAGTTTTCCAAGCAGTTCTCGACTTAGAATTATTTTACCATTTGTGGTCTCTGCGTGTATTAATGTCCAAACACACATAGGGCTACAAACTTCGTAAATTTTTTTTTCAGTACTAGCTTGACTTGTCACTTATCGTTTCGTCATCAAAACCACTCAGAAAGTTCTCACTAGACTTGGGATCACTCACGCAAATTTGGACAATCGGAAGATCGATGACAAATAGATAAACGTGCAATCGCATGCAACGTACATAACACACGAGTTTATCTAAATGTTTTTTTCTTCCGGGAACCAAAGCCCAGTTTCAGGTTTATCAACTCGAAAGTTTATCAACAACAACAACACACGTGCGAGTAGACGGCGCGGCGACAACTCTGGCTCATCGCCCGCTGCTGCACCCGGCGCCTCGCAGCTTCCACGCGTCAACGCACGCCACACACACACGCGTTCTCGCCACCGACCCCCACGCGGCGGCACGCGACAGACACGCGACCCCGCGAAGACGCGGCGAAGGAGGAGGCGACTGACCCGCGACAAGTCTGGACTTGTCGACGCCGCCACCGCCGCCGCTGGCCGGCCGGCGAGCGGGCTGCGCGGCGGTGAGCAGGCCGGACGCCGCCGCCGCCTGGCCCCACGCTGACCGGGCCGTCAACCCCGGCCCCCGAGGCAGCTGACCCACCGGCCGCACTTTTCCGCCCACACGGCGGGACAGCGACGGTGGCGGCGGCGGCGGCGGCAACGCGCGCGGTCGTGATAAGGTCCCCGGAAATGTCAAACCACGACGACGACGACGACGACGACGTGGTGTTGTTAAACGACTTGCGGACATACCGAGAATATCTTGTAGCATGTGACAGTTCTGTATTTCATAAACTTTCGATGCCTCACACTTCTTGTATTTCTCGATACTTAACATCGGTTCATCCTATAATAAAGTTTTACGTTTTGGCATAATGAATTCGGATTGTTAATACGGCGTCGAATAACAATTCTCTGTACGAGTTGTGCAATAGCGCAGTAGGAAGCGAATGTAGTTCATTGACATTTCCGAGAGTGTGAGTCAACAAGTTAGCACTAGCCAGGTCTACGAGCGGTAAGTCTCATCATGAAGTAGAATCAAAACTCAATATTTGTTATATTATTTTTTGTACGAAAAAAAATGGAAGATACACTTATTAGAGTTTGGATAAGTGAAACTTGTGCGTGATAACGCATTGGATGCTCCTTCGCCACTTATTTAGCGAGACGGTCACCGGTTCAACATACGCAAGTAGACACCACCGTTTGAGAAACGTCACGACGACGTCGTTTTGAAACGTCAAGTTGACACTTGGGATCGTTCACCGCACGCGTACTTTGAAACTCGACATTCACTAGTCCGCACGGTATTCACATCGAAACACATCACACATACACAATCACGACCACTTGTACAAAAATGAAGTCAGTGTACTCACTTGCATTGTCCGAGTCCCCGTTGTCGTCCGGTTGTCGGAGGATCCGCTGGCGCAGTAGAATTTGCCGGACTACATCGTAAAGGTCTAGAAGTAGTCGGTTCAGTAGCCTGTAGTCTTGCTCGGCCTCCTGGTCGGAGGGCAGCACGAAGGGGATAGCCATGTTACTCGACGCTCCCGCGAAGTACGAGTTGGAAGTCAACAGGTGCTTGGAGCGCAGCTCTTCCACGTCCGCTCTCGTCCAAGCCAACACGCCGTCTGTGCCTGGCGGAGCGGCCGCTAGCGCGGTGCCGTACGCGGCAGCAGCGGCGGCGGCGGCGGCGCGGCGGTGGTGGGGGCGCGCACGTATGCTGATGGTGGGGGAGGGAGGAAGGGAGGGGGGGGGCACGCTCGACCAATCGCGGCGCGCGCCGGGACGCGGTAGCCGGCGGAGAGCCCCAGTAAATTATATACACATGCTCATGTGCGTCCCGCGCGTCTTCTATTTACTTATTGTGATGCGGGCAAGTGATGTAACTCGTACACAATCGGCTGTCTTCGGGCGCGTCCGTAATCGGATGATTAGATCGTAAAAGCGTTTCTTTGTTGCGAGTTTCGGGGCGATGCGGCAGCGAGTTGCTGCTGCTACTCGTGTTAAGCGAAGGCTTCGCGAGGCCTGAGCGCGCGCGACCACTGACAACGCCTCCTCCTCCTCCTCTCTGGCAGAGCTGCGCTGCGACGTATTGTCTTTTATTCCTGCCTTCGGAGCCCGGCGCTGCGCGGTGCGGTGCTGATAGGCGGACCTGGCGGCGGGGCGGGAAATCGCTCGAGGAGCGGAGCGGAGCGGCGGGCGGGTGTGGGGAGGGTAAGGGGGGCGTGTCGTGGGCGCAGCGGAGTCAGCGGCCTGCGCGTGTGGAGAGCGTGAGCCTTCGCGGGCGCAGTTGCAGCGCTGCGCGGTCGTTCAACCGCTGCGAAGCGTCTTTCGGTCAGGCGGTGATCCACAAGTTGCGAGGTGTGGGCGTGCCGCGGAGTTACGCCATAGCTGTAAAGCGGTGGTATAACGGTCAGCGTATCGTGATGTTTTATCCCCGTTTACGGGTTCGAACACGACTGAACCCGTGGATTTTTCAGGACGGTAAAAATCCTTCGTACGCTTTTCTTTGGAGGGGAAGCAATGCCGGCTCTCATATGCTCTAAAGCTACTACATGTATAATATCATCAAGCTAAAGAAGCTTCTCGGCTAAATTTAAAACTCCTCTTTCGTCGCCCGAGTGTTATCTTCTTTCTCTGCTAGATAGGGAAAGGAACTAGCGAAACTTGCGTGGTCCGACGAGAGAGCAGACCTGATGGCCTGAGTCTCGCCATGTAAAATAGGCATCGTTGAAATGAATAAAAAAGAAGAGGTAACTAACAAGTTAAATAAGAGCCCTTTTCGCATTTTAGGATGTAATTGAGATAAGGCTCAATGTAAAGTAATAGGAACTCCAGTCTTCTCCACCAGAAGACAATAAATAAGTAAAAAAATACTATATAAACAAAAAATTCCAACCGAGGAATAAATTTAACGTTGACGAATTGGCATACTATAACATCAAACCCCTTCTTTATCCGTACTTAATTGTAAAAACGAATGGCTCCATAGCCTAAAAAATTAGCATTTCCGTGAATGTGAACGAGTCTACATTTAATATTTCGCGGCTCTTTAATACTAATTGCTGTCCAATAAGTACAATGTGTATTTTCACATTTCGTGTCGAATGCATTGGATTCAATTTCCATGAGACTGATGAACGAGTATTATGGAACACATTCATAGAGCTTTTGCTTAAGAAGGCGAACAATCATAGTATCAATTGATACGTGACTGCCCAGGACACGTAGGGGGATGAGAGTGATGCGAATGCAGGGAGATATGAAATAACAGGATAATAAATCATGAACAACCTGCAAGGAAAATCTTTAGGAGGATGGTTTTGGATATGCTGTATAGATGGATTCTAGGAGAATGGATAGTAATCGCGAAAAATCTGATATCACAACAGAAACCGGTTCCTGAGTAAACCCTTAAAACTCGCGATGTCTTCGCAAACGTGTTAATTGTGTTTAGCAGAAACCGCACGCAGTTTGTGCAAGTCAAGACTGGTCCGAGGATTCGGCAGCAAGTCGCTAATTGAATCGTCGGTGCAGTCAGGATCTTAAAGGATACCCTAACCGTAGTATGGAGTACTCATTGCCATGTTTTCTTTACAGAAAATAAATTTGAAACGAAAATAGTTATGAATCCTCTGTGATTTTGTTTTAAATACCTTCTTCTTTTTCTTCTGGTGTTTGTGACGATTAAAAATGCCGTATTTATTACTTACATTCATGACACGATGATAAAAATTGAGAATATGAAAATGCCACTACTGGAATTGTACTGTTTTCAGGTAACATTGAACAATAATGCTATCGAAACAAAACTCATTTTCTCCTGTGGGAGCAAAACCTAGGACCATACAGAGTCTCTAAAGGTATTGGATAAACGCAGAGTACCGAGTGGAGCTACTACGGCACATACTTTCTCGCACATTTGTAACTTTGAAATTTTTGACATTGGAAAGAGTTCACCAAAGTCGAAAAATGCCACATTTTATAAATGTACTTTTTGCTCTATTCGATAGAAAAAAATGTCATTTTTCTAAATCTCTGGTAGAGTTGCGCCGCAATAATTCGGCCTTATTCCTGCCTTCGGCCCGATGCTTCCTTCTGCGCAGAGTGAGTGACGCGGCTGTGACGGTGGCGGTCCCGGCGGATCGCGGGATTTTGGAGAAACATAACTTACGTTCGCTGTATAGGGCGCACCGAGGAACGCGGCCCTTTGCGAGGAGACTATCAGTATACTTGCATTGCAGGTCTCGTAGTAAGGAAGCGTAGTGCTGTGCAGGCATTTTATTTCCCTTCAGCTTTATTTCCCTGGTTTATTTTCTTTTGATAAGTACATGGATAAGTAAAACGTTACACTAAACTATACTATTCACATGATTTGGTTGTATATTACTAACTTACAAATTAAGCTTCATCTATTACATGGATGAGGAAGCCTAATTAGGCCCCTCTGTTAATCTCAATTTCTGCATATTTTTTCCTGAATACATGGAAAGGAAATTTGTTTTGGATTCGGGTTGGTTGAGTAGAATTTCAGCCGAGGCTGAGTGTATTTAATGTGGGTATTTGTGGTATGGAGAAATAGATGTTGGAGAAAAAGTAATTGATATGATAGGCAACGGTGGACCAACTTTGTGGTGTTGGTCGTTGGTGACAAACAAAAGGGGCGTTGGTTGTTATCCTCAGGAACTGGTTTTGGAAGATTTGTAGTTTTTTAATGTTAGTTTTGGCGGCATTAATCCAGATGTGGCACGCGTATAAAGGGAGTGCTTAATAAGGTTTTGTATATTATTATGGCTGTGCTCTATGGTACAGAAGAATTTCTATTGATACATGTTTTAGTTAGAATAATTTTATTTTTACTTCATTAACTTTGGTTTCTATATGTTTTTCGAGGTAAGTTTTGGGACTGTGTTGAGTCCAAGGTAATTGTGTTTTTCTGTGGATGCCAGATTATTGGTTCATTGTTTAGTGTCAAGGGAGAAGGAGTGTATGGTTTGAGAGTAAATATTTTGACAGCAGTTTTCGAAGAATTGAATTGAATTTTTAGATAGGCGGCCCAGCCATCCATTAGATGAAGGTATAGTTGCTTTCTATTACTTATTTTGTGTAGATCGGGTCCTGAACAAAATAGTGCCGTGTCATCTGCAAATTGGGCGCTTTTTTTTAGAATTTAGTGTAGTTAAATCTGCGACATAGATATTGAAGAGAATTGGGGATAATGGTGATCCTTGAGCGTTTATTTGTCTGGGGATTGAGTGGTGATTAATTGACACAAACTAAAAAAGGTTGTGTTAGAAAACTGTGGATAGTTGAGATCATATAATGAGGGGTTCCAATATTTATTATTTTGTACAGTGACGGCTGATGCCATGTTCTGTCGAAGGTCTGGGTTATGTCGATAAATATTGTTATTGTACAAAACTTTTTCTGGAATGGAGATTCTTAGGAGCTGGTGCTGTCTGGATATATATTTTCGGTGAAACCTGATTGTTCGCGGGGGATGGTTTTGGCGGCTCGTAAGAATTAGGTTAGAAGTTTTAAAATTATTTTCTGAAATATTTTACCTATTGTGAGCAGTAAGCTTATAGGGACTATTGCAACTATTTGAGACTGTTGCAATTTTGTTAGGTTTGTAAAGGGGAAGGATAATTGTTGCGTGGGATCGGGGATAATTGTTGTTTTTCCATTGTTGGGAAAAGTGGGTATTTCTGAAACAAGAGTTGTATATATTGGTGAGGTTTGCTATTGCAGGTGGAGGTAACTTTTTTAATACGTTATTATTTATGTTATCATGCCCAGGTGATTATTTACGCGGTCATTGTTATATATTTATAATTATTTCTGACGGGAATGTATTTTTGAATTGTATTTTTGAGTGTGGACCTTAGCAGGGTTCGTTTTAGTGTTTATTACTTGTGTTGTGTTCTGTGTGAGGTTTAGTCACGTTTTGAATGTTGACGCAAAGTAATCTGCCAGCTCTTCAGCTTTCTGGGTTAATTTTACTTTCGGTCAGACGGTTGTCGGCGGCGGGGTCGCAAAGTTACGCCATTGCTTTAAAGAACGGCTGAGTAACGAGTTAAATATTATTGCAATTCACAATGAAATTGAAAAAGGTTCAATTTATAGTAATTGGAACTCTCATCTTCTCCACCAGAAGGCTATAAACAAAAAATATATATAAACTAAAAACTTGTGAAAGAAAACATTTTTGTAAACTTTTGTTTTTGTAAACAACAAAAATGTATTAATTTTTAAATATTATTATAATAAAAAATATTTTAATCAAAAACAGGAAAAGTATTTTCAAATTTTTGCATTTTAAAAACAAATTGTGCAAGGACTTATTTAAAGATCTAATTTTATGAATATATTTCCTAAAGAACAAAAATTTACATCATCAGTATTGTAGTTTTGCAAAGTAAAATATTTAAAATTTTAGAAAATTCCGAATTCATCCTAAAATGAAAATTGTATAATTTTTCTGAACGTATTTCTCGCTGTTAAATAAAAACAAAATAAAAACAAAAACAACAAACAAATATTGTCATCAATATTGTAGTTGTAGAAAGACGTCGAAAAAGAAATTAATCTCTTGTAATTTTCGGAAATCCACAGAATTCAATAAACATAACACATGCACCATTTTCTAAGCGTCCTTTGCTTTATCTGAGGAAAACGTTTAATCCAAAACGGTGTGCATGCGAAAAGAGCATGCACACAGGCGACTCACAACACCATTACTGTAACTCCCTTCGGAAAGGCGTCTCAGACCCTCAGCATTAGGTTTTGTGCACGAGTTTGATTTCTTAAGTCACAATGTTCAAAATCTACAAACGTTTTATACGTTCTGTTACATTTTTGGAAGTTCTACTTTGTAACAGGGATTGTCGGAAACGGTCGAAGTTGGTACCAAAATGAAGCTATTTTCACTTTTAAAAGAATAATTTCGGTAGTGCTGAATGTTCGCACGGTTCCAACTAACAACGTATTATTCCTTGAAATTACATTTTCTTTTAATGTTTGTGCGTAATGCGCATATTCCCTTTAAAGTAAGGAACCTAATTTTGTTGTTCGGTTTTCGATATTAATATTCGCCATAAAGTGTTCCTTGTAGCAAATCAAGTCTCCCGTTTCTTCCTAATTTATATTAGGTGTAACGTCAGATGTGAATCTATAGTTCTCTCAAATTTTCTAAGATTAGATAAATTAATACGATAGCTGTTTCTCTAGATTTAATTTTGTTTATGTTTAAACAAAACCGTGAAACTTTTGAAATTATATTTGTACAATATAAACATACGTATAGTATTCTGTATCTTGGAGGACATGTTTCTTTGGTGTCGTGTTAATACAAATAGACTTTTTTGAACAGGAAGACAACTCGTGTATAGTTGTTCCACGTATTCCTATTAGAAAATAATCAGCACGCATTCTCATCTTGTTTGAATTCATTTACATTACAACCTTTTCTACATATGTCTCCTCCGAGTTCTACAGCGCATAACCAAGAAAATTGCCATCGACGGTGAGACAAGTGTCACGCCTTTGAAGGCTCGCAATTGGACCACCATGACACAGTCCTCAGGTCACAGACCCCTTGATGCTTTTTTAATTTTATGCTTGCCTCTCAGCATGTTTTCAGACCTTTTGTGCAATAGTGCGACGTTTCTCTACCTAAACGTGTAAGAGAGACAAAGAAAATGGTGCATCATGGAACGAAGGTACATGACGTCTTGTGAATTCTTGTGAATTCGCCTCGAGAAAAGATCGAGTTCTGTGGTGCTAAATGTCTCATTTTTTCGCTTTACCGGCTACAGCACCACACAAGTTGGAAGCTCTTGTTCGCAACGATCATAAAACTCGTTTCTAGCATAAGAGATGGAAAGCCTTGCTTTAATGTCTTCGACTTTTTAGCTTAGTTTTATAATTATTTTGAATTGCAGTCCTCCGGTGCCATTTGTGACCCGGGAAAGGTTATTAGTCGTATGTGAAAGTCCCTTGCATTCATGTCGGGGGAGAACATTGTGCACCTAGTGCATGCGCCCTGACGGGTGAACACCCCATTAATGTAAAAATAGGTTAAGTTTAAATTTAAGTATTTTCTAATATATTCAGAACTTCACAGTCATCCCAATGTGTTTCACTGCGTTATGTATGGCACGGCCTGATATAACACGTTTCCATCTCCCCCTAGGAGAAAGTGCCGAGGTTAACTATACGTGGTAATCAGGTGTGGATCGTCCCAGCTTTGGAAATAATATGGGCGACAACAATATTAAAGATTTTATTCAATATTAAAGTTGTGACCCTTGAGACCTTACACGTTGGTCACCCCTCCTCTGAACATCGTCGTGAGTATTCTTGTTCTACTCATCGTCCCATTTGTAGTGCCATGTTCTTTCTGTTTCAACCGAAATTCACTCTCTTCTCCATCTCATTAACGATATTTTCTATTGACTGTCAGATTATCTCACGGGTTTGTTCTCACCATGAACTGAAATCAATACTTTTGTTCGGACGCCGACGAAAACCATTGCGGGAACACACAACCACATCAACAGAGCAAACTCTGCCTCCGCCTTAGCCATCGCTGCATCCACCTCATTCCACAAACAATAATCACAGACCTACTGTCACCAAGACTGGCATTATCTGTCATACGTTACTGCCACTCACTTGACAGGCACAATACTGCAACGATACTCATTTTTCCTTCAATGAATTAAATACACGAATAGAAAAACAGAATCCATTTTTTGTAGGGTCGATTCTCCAGCATACACCGTACGTTTAAAACAACTCTCGCTAGAAACATACTAACCTAACAATATTCGTCATCATATCAGCTCATCACAATGTATTATCGCTTAAAGACCCTAAAGTGTGTGTTTTTCAAACATATATGAATGCTATTGAGCAATGAGTACAAGCAAAATAGCTTCGTCAAAAATGTTATTGCTCTATCTCCCAATTTCTGTACTGCATTTTCATTGCCATTTAAAGTATTCAACTAGTAATATGATCTATGTGGCATTTTGTAAAAATACAATCAAGTTTTGCAAATTTCATTTTCATAATTTCTAGTTATTTCATGGCCGGACACATTTGAACTGCGCGACATTCAAGTAACATACCAATTGCGATGGCATGGGACGACCGAGTTCCGAATCCTGAGCCCCAACAGTGATGGATTATCGGAAGTAGTAGCTTGACAGGTAGGACGAATCCAGCTTGACAGGTAGGACGAACTGCATGTGGTTTTCTGGCGGCCAGGCGGCTGCTCTAATCGGTGTTTTTCCGCAGTCTGTCCGATCAACACCAGTGAAACGCTGGAGCCGTACCTTAACAATCGAACCTCGCGCCGCGCGCGATCGTTCCTTCCTCTTCCTTGTCCTATTCTCACCCCTTACTTATACTCACATGCACTGCTCTACCGCACAGATCTATCGGGACGTAGTACAAACTTGGAGGTTGTAGATTCTCATGCTCCAACAGATGAGGAACACCGGCACTGAGATAAAAAAATGAATTACACTTACGGTACTAATGACTATAGCGCGTCCGGAAACAGGACGTAATCAATTAACCAATCAAAGTTATAAAACATTTTGATAAATCAAAAATACCTTTAAATTCCATTTTCTATAGTTACTTTAAAAATTCGCAACAAATATATTCTGAAAAATCAAGACCAGTGTAACGCAGCCTCTACCCGTCGCGGGCATCTTCTTCCCTCCATCGGCTGGCATTTCCTTTCGCCTCTTACGACAACTACGTCGCTGCCCTCTCCACCGCTATCACGGCCACCATCGCTTCCGCCACCAGCCCTTCCACCGCTTCAGTTTCGCGTTTTCCCTGCATCGAGGTTGCCGACTGTGACGTCACCGGCGCATCGCGCGTCGTCCGTCATTGCTTCGCTATCGCTCTCATCCTCCCTACTGTTCCCTGCCGCCTCTATCCCCATCGCCGCTGCCCTCATCGCCTGCAGTGTTACGCAGCATTGTTATATTGCCGTCGCCGCCGCCTCCAGTCGCTGCGCGTCTGCTTGCGCCCCGCCGCCCCGCCGCTGCCGCCACCCCCCCCCGCTTCGCTGCACTACGCACATGACTTCCCTCCGACCGGCCCCGCCCTCTGCCACCCTGTCACCGTCCCCTCGCCGACCCCTGCATGTCTCTCCTGCGCCGCAGCCCCCCCCCTCGCCGCCTCCATTTCGCGCGTCTCCTTCACCGCCACCGCGTGCCGCCGCCCGCCCCCCCTCACGACCTCATACCGTAGCCTATTCTCTGCATTAGCCGCCACCCCCACCCGCCCCCCCTCGCCGCCTTAAACGCTGCTCCGCCTCTCCTTGACCAACCCATCCTCCAACACGCCGCTGCCGCCCACTTGCCGCCACCGCCGCCGCCACGCCGCCGCCCCGCCGCCAGCCACACCCAGCCACCACCACCCACCACCACCACCACCGCGCCGCCGCTGCCGCACAATGACCGCCGCCAGCCCGACCGCCACCACCACTCGCCGACCCTTGCATGTCTCTCATGCGCTGCCGCCTCGCCTCCCCCCCTCGCCGCCTATTTGCCGCGCCTCTCTGCCACCGCATCCGCTGCCAGCCCCACCCCCCCACGCCACCTCATACGGCCTGAACGCCTGTCCGCATTGCCGCCGCCGCCCACCGCCCCACCCTCGCCCTTGCACTTCCTCAGGCTCTCGGCTCTCCTGCACGCCCCGCGGCGCCCGCCACCGCACGCCGCCGCCGCCGCGCCCGCCCCCCTCCCCGCTTCCAACGCTGCGCGCCTCTCCTGCACCACCGCCGCGGTGGCGTGCCTCCCCTTGCCGCCGTACAGATCCGGTACTGCGCAGTTCGTCGCCCGTGGTCGCGTCCGGGTCACGGCTGCTCCGGCGCTCGCGTCGCCTCTCCTCGCCTCGCCTCGCCTCGCCTGCACCTGTCATCGCGGCCGACGCCCCCTCCCCCTCCCCTGCTCCATCACATTCGTCGCTCGAATTAGACAACTGCACTGCTCGGGCATCTAATGGTAAACACATCAGCCGGACAAAGAAGAAAAAAAAACTGCAGTGAAGAACAGAAAAAGGAAAGGGAAATGTATTGTCATTCAGAATATACACAATGCGCACAAAGGACCTTGTCTTGGTGTACACTGCTTAAATGACTCGGTTGCTTTGAAATAACGGCACTCCCAAATCTAGCCTATCGAAAAGCTGAACTATTTTTTTTAAAACCAATTGTGTTCTAAATGTGCTAAGTAAAAGTAAGTTTATTAATGAACACGCTCTTATGTATTCCTTCACTCTGTTCGAATTTGTGATCATATCAATCCCCGCAGGTGGTCTATTGAACCTCATTACTTATAAATATCACATTCCACCTATATAT